AGTTGAGATGCTTACCTCAGCCACCTCACACACTTTCGTTCTCCGGTCGTCCGCCATAACATGGATTTTATCGATGATTTCTTTAGTTTCGGTCATGGATTGTGTATGCATAAAGAAGTACCTACTTAAGCCCAGTATGCAGCTCTCAACAAAACGGTCAAGAAAATAATTGTCATTATTTCCTTTCCTTTCCTCAAGAAATAATGGAACGGGCAAGCATGGGTTGCCTTGTGCTCTTTTTTCACAAAAAAAAATTAGAAAATCGTAATAGAAAGCGTAGCAAATTTCTTAAGAATTGCGTACTACCTCAAGAAAATTTTACACAAGAAAATTTCTTAACCATTTCTTGTACGTATTTTATATGGATTTTTGCTTTGCTTGAGAGCTGCATACTGGCCTTTAATCAGCACACAAAACTAGCTTTTTTTCATTTTAAAAATTTTACAGTTGTCTCCATATTTATTGATGGCATTTTACGGTAGCGGTACTGCCGTGCGCTAAATCCAAAGTAATTGACTTTTCAAATTTCCCTAGTAACAAAGTTTTTGGCATAGAAAAAAAGCAAAGTCTTTGCCATAGAAAAAACAAAAGTCGAAAATAAAATGGAAATGTGTTCATACATGTGTAAACACATACATTCATATGTACGTATGCGTTTAAGTGGCTCAATAGTTCAATAGTGGGAAACATTTTTTCAACGCTTGCAGTTTTTTCTGAAATATTAATCAATTTAGCAAAAAAAAAATAATGATCAGCAAAATTAATAATACTTGCTAACTGCAGGAATTTATAAGATTTAAAAAAATATTAAAACGGAACTGGATGTCTGAATATTTATTATTACGCGAAAAATATTCTCTGTCATTTACTTTTTAAAAATAATTTCACTCAAATGTTGGCCGGAGATAGAACATTACCGGATATTTTTCTTTGAGGTTAGGTGAAGTTAAAAGTCTTCGCCAATAAGCCAGCTAAGATTCAAAACTTGGAAGCCGACATTGCTTACGTAATTCGCGCATTGGTGGGAAAAGTAATCGAGAATTGGACCTTCCGAATATACCATTTACAGCGTAGTCTCGGCCACCGCTTACTTTCGTAAAATTAACTATAAATACTCTAGCAAATTATTCGCCGTTTTTATTCTTTCGGTTTCAGCATGATAAGATTCCGTTTGCTGAAAAAATAAAAAAAAAACAGAATTCGGCTCAAGTAAAAGAAAAAAAATTAACTTTGATTTTGAAGTTTTTACCCAGTCAATTTCGTACTGAAAACACATCGCTACCTAAAGGTGAAAAGGTGCCAAGTCCATTTTTTTTCAAAATTTATTTTTCAATACAAAATGGCAGGTAATACGAAACTACATCGACTTGGCACATTTTCACCCTTAGGTGACGACATGACACTTTTAACATATGTAGCTCTAGAAACCACTCGGAACTTTTTCATACACCAAATATCTGGATGTTTTTGAGAAACTTGTCAACCCTTTTCATTCACGTCTATTTTTTTGAATTTTCCTGAATTTTTCTGCTTTATTCTGCTTTATTTATGGGATTTTTAAGTTCCAGTTCTACATTTCAGTCTAAATGCTACATATTGGGCCTTATACATAAAAAGTGAGCTTAAGCTCAGACTCAATTTTTGCACTGAAGGGGTGAGCTCAAGCTCACTTAAGCTCACTTTTTATGCATGAGGCCCATTATTTTCACCAAATATTGTTTGCCAAAAAGTCTGCTCGAAATACGTTAGAAACAAATAAACAATAGTGGTACTCACGAAATCGAGCAAGTGGCCTGGCAGTCTGGCAAAAGAGCAGACAGTCGTTGCTTGAGCTCATCTGCTCGTTTGCCAGAGTGCCAGGCCACTTGCTCTCTTTGGTGAATACCACACAAATGTGAACACATAGATTACTCATACGCCCTGGCATACACCCATTAGAATGAATCTGATATTGTACCGCTAGTTATAATCTACTTAAACTAACCAAATCAGAATCAGTGCAAAGTTTTCCTAAACCTTAACTATGATAAAATGTCTATCCGCTCTTACTGGCTGCATCATCTTTTCTATTAATTGAACTTAATTGCCTAAAAAAATGGCTTGCAAACTAAAATTCTTATTGGCAATTTCGCCACCTCTTTTATGGTGTGTGCAATAATTTTCTAAGATCTGTGAAGCACAAATGCATTTTGCTAAGGTACAATACCAGAAAGATTATAGAGCAGAGCAAAGTAACAAGGAAATAGAAATAGGTAAACTACTCTGAAATTCGGTTTTGCTTCCATTTATGCATTATACGAACTAAATAATAACTATAAGCAGTTACAAATACATACATCCATAATGGAATGAAATAATGCTGGCATTTTTCCTTTGTTCTATGTACATACATATTTATGTACTCAACTCAATCCACACTTCCTCTTGTCTTCTTTCGCTCCGATGCAATTAGAAGGAAGCTCGGCCAAAAGTAAAAAAAAAATTAAGAGATGCAACGATTCCTGTTACAACGAAATGCACAGCCATAAAGAGGAAACGAGCAAATTCATTAACACCCATTTTAATGTCATCATTTAAGCGCTTGCCATAGAGTTGTACCAATTCGTCACAGTCTCAAGAGATTCTAGTTTTTTTTTTTTATACTTTTTGCATACTTGCTCTTCCATTTAATTCTTCTTGTTAATTTTAATGCTTGGTTGACAATTTTAACAGCTCATAAAAAATGCGGGCATGAGTTTCATAAAAGCGTGTCATGTGCATACATATCTGTAGATACATGCACATTTATACTTAAGTATCCACATTTTTGTAATTAGCTACATACATTCATGCTATAAATACTTTAATGTATGAATTTATACCCCACTCGCTTACTTGCAAAATGTTTGTCTTTTAGCGCGAGTGTTTTTTTTTTTTTTTTAATTTTGAGTATTAAAGTTAAAAAACCCCCTTGTAACCCAAGCATTGCATTTTAATAAATGTTTTTTTTTCTTTCCCCCCCCCCCCCCCCTCCCCCTCCCCTTCGTAAACGACACATTCACTAGTCTTCTTTCCTCCAACTCTGCGCTCCATATTTTCACTTCGTTCGACATTGGACTCAAAACTTGATTTAATAATGCAACACGAGTTTTATAGCTAATTAACTTTTATGATGTTGCAACCACATTCGAGTGAATTAAAACCGCTTATCATAAATACTCTAATTCTTTGAATTTTGTAATTCCTCTGTGGTGACATTAAAGACGTTAAAAAGGGAATAAGTCCCAGCAGTTAGATGTGAAAGCGTGTGTGCTGATCTGATTTATTTGAGTATAATTATGAGTTTACTCAAAAAATTTTGAACTAAGTACAAGGCAACAGCTATAGTCTAGTTAACGTCAACTAAGCCAGAAGCGAAAAGATTTTGTTTTTGTATTTTCCTTTTTAGCTGATGGTCACTTTGCCACACCAAACAATTCCTGAACAAAAATATATTTATTTGGCCAATATATTGGTTTACGCGTATGTCTAAACTAATTGTACCTTTATTGCTGTAACTAACGGGTGATTTTTTTGAGGTTAGGATTTTCATGCATTAGTATTTGACAGATCACGTGGGATTTCAGACATGGTGTCAAAGAGAAAGATGCTCAGTATGCTTTGACATTTCATCATGAATAGACTTACTAACGAGCAACGCTTGCAAATCATTGAATTTTATTACCAAAATCAGTGTTCGGTTCGAAATGTGTTGAATGTGTGAAAAGTTGGCAGAAAATCCGCTTTTTTATCGACAAATTTTGTTCAGCGATGAGGCTCATTTCTGGTTGAATGGCTTCGTAAATAAGCAAAATCATGCGATTTGACGCCTTTAGACTATTTTTTGTGGGGCTACGTCAAGTCTAAAGTCTACAGAAATAAGCCAGCAACTATTCCAGCTTTGGAAGACAACATTTCCGAAGAAATTCGGGCTATTCCGGCCGAAATGCTCGAAAAAGTTGCCCAAAATTGGACTTTCCGAATGGACCACCTAAGACGCAGCCGCGGTCAACATTTAAATGAAATTATCTTCAAAAAGTAAATGTCATGGACCAATCTAACGTTTCAAATAAAGAACCGATGAGATTTTGCAAATTTTATGCATTTTTTTTAAAAAAAAAGGTATCAAGCTCTTAAAAAATCACCCGTTACTTAGGAGAAGTGTCAATTTTGAAATTTGTGAAATGAAATGCTTAAAAGAAACAATTTGTAAATATAATTACAGATATGAGCAAATCTCACGCTAAAGCATTCTTCATGTATTTATTTCAATCAGTGGAGTTCCAGAAACAAGTACAATAAAGTATTTGAACAATATTGGCCTTAAAAAGTTTATTTAGGCGAAAAATTACCAAACTTATTGATTTTTTCATTGCCACTCGAAAAAAAACATAATTGTTTTTTTTTTTTTTAATTATGGGAAGTTTTCAAACAGAATGTTCATATAACAGGCAATGGACGTTGGCAACAAATACAACATATATTTATGTGAAGTTTCAAGAGTGTGCAACTAAATTGAAAAAATTACAGCATGCCGAATATCTGACGTAGTTGGATTGTAATTTTTGAAATTTTAACAGCCAATTTCACGAAAGCAATTTAAGTGAAAAATGATTTTAATTTTTTGAATTTTAAATTTAAACTTCTTGCCAAAACGAACGAATCTAGTGTTACATTTGTGTTATGACTAGTGTGCCACCAAATGAAAAAAAAAAAATACATTGAGTAAAAGATGGCTATGATTTCCATTTTTTACAATTTTTTATGGCACACTCGAAATTCATTCTAAAATTTGTATATACATGAAGAAAGTAATATATGTATATGTATGTGCATACGGAGTACTGTGTGAAAATCTTCCACGCCAATATTTCATTACTTTTAAGTTAAGTCCAAAACAAATTTTTACCGAAAATGATATAAATCCTCTGATTTTCGCTACCTTTTTATGTACCTATAATTATAATATTCTCTTCCATCAGGTCACCGATTGGGGCGTTGAGCAGTGCCGCTCGCTCCATGTGCACATTAAAATACCACCTCGCCTGCGCGTCGATCCGGCCAGCGTGACACTGCAACGCGGCGACTCACTACGCGTACGCTGTCTCTCACCCGGCAACGATGACATCAAACACTACGCACAACTCGGCTACAGCTGGACACGCAACGGTGTACTCTTTCAATCGAATCCCGCCACAGTGATGTGGGAAGACCTTTATCCAGATGGCAGCATACTGAAAATTAACAACATACAGGTATGTAAGTCAACAGCGCAACCACAATACGATACTCAAGTGCGCATTAAAGCTTTAATTTTTATCAAGAAATAAAAGCTGTGGCTTTTGTTTTGTACACTTTGAAGGCATTTCGCTTTAACTATTTATTTTATTCCTTTTTGCTTCACAACTCTCATTCGCACAGAAATCTGCCGAGTACACTTGCATTGTCTCAAATACTGTGCGTCCCGTTTCAAAGAGCGTCTACATCACCGTTATCGACCGCAATGCGGTGCATGTTTGTCACAGCGCTATGCTCTACGGTGTCCGTTGGCCAACAAGCGCACCAGGCGCCGCCATTGTAGCCGATTGTCCGCGCGGTTTCGAAGGCCACTCGCGGCGTATCTGCGAAAGCCGCGACACAGGCAATTCGACATGGTTGTTGCCCGATTTCTCGCTTTGCGTACACGATCAACTTTTGGCGATTTACAATAAATTCCGTGCATTAAGCGCCGGCTACCAGCAGACCAACTCATCGGCCATACTGAAGGCTTGCTTCGAGTACACAGTTAAGCGACATAAGCGCTTTCTGCCCGGCGAGGCGGGATTTCTCATCGATATGCTGCATGAGGTGAGTACCGAAGGAGTGAGGAGTGAGTGGCTGTTTGTTGGAAGTCATCGAAGCATTAAAGTATTTACGAGAGGGGGGCAGGTGCTGGCAAATGCCACTCGAGTGTGGATTGCTTGAGTGACCTAGAATGCTGCAAAAAAAAAACAAGAACCGCATACAAATTTCTATCTATGTAGTGGTAAAAGCAATCGGTTTTTTTATATTTATTTAATGTATGTCAAGCACACACAGCAGCGCCATTGTTTGGCGAATGTTTACGTGCATTTTTAAAACGTACTCAACGCAAAAATGTCACGTATACGCCCGGGTATGCGCAGTAGCAGAGATAAAACGTCGCAGCTAGTGACATACTTTTTATAAAAAATTTATTTGCATTTAAAATGTTTATACACCACAAGAATGTTAAAGTCAAAAATCGTTCTCACACAATTTTTTTTTTAATATCAGCTACAACAAAGTGTACGACAGTAATTTTTCACACAAAAGATGCAACTTGAATTGTACAATGACCGCACTGAGATGTGTGCCTCTAGAGTTATCTGCGTATTCATTTTTCAAAATTGCATCCAAAGTCGAAAAAGTGACAAAGTTATTTTGCTTGGCGGGAGTATGAATAGATTCCCTAGAAAGACATATTCACATACATAAAACTCAAAATGTATCTACGTATGCACTTACATATAAGCAAAGCCCATACAAGTACTTGCCAGCTGCGTATAAATGACGGCGCATGCAACCACTGCCTTGGCTGGTAGGTTGGTTGGTTGGTGGTTTGGTTGGCTGGCTGGCAAGCTGCTCTTCTATCCACCAGCCTTTCACATAACCGCACATTTCTCTAGGTGCCACCACATTTACACTTCACCCACTTAACTTGTGGCTCTGCTTGCCAGCACCGAAATTCTCCATCAACCTGAAAGTAAGCAAATGCACTGCAGGAAAATAAAATACGTAGAATCAAGAAATAACAAATAAAATAAATAGCGAAAGTGGCAGCGCTCATCTAAGAGGTAAAAAAGCCTTCCAACGATGCCAACGATGATGATGACGGTGTCGAGGAAAGTTCTTCGCAGTTCAGAAAGTGCAATTTTTCATTATAATTCACTTACAAATTTACAGCAGCCAGCAATTTTTGATCGCTTCTTCCTCTGCTTTGAGCTTTGCTTAGCCCATACATTCATGTGAACAATTTTTAGGATGTGCATGTATGTACATACATATGTGAGTTTCCTTGATGTGAATTAACTATACAACTTACAAAATGTGCTGCGTTGCATACCTGCAAAAAGTTGGCGGAAAAAATTTAATATTCGAAAAAAAGGCGTCTCCTAAAGAAAATCGTAGTTTATTAGATTTCACTTTTACCGGAAGCCATTTGCTCCCATTTGCACACTTACAAAGGTACTTCCTTTTTGTGTGCGCCTCTCTTCTGTTGATCTTGAGTGGCCTTTTGACAACGAGTTGCTAAAACTTTTTATCGTGCAGCACTGTCTGTTGTATATGTATGTACACAGCAACTTCACTATCTGTCTATGTATATATATACACACACAAATATATATGTACACTTGAAATAACACAGGTTTACAAAAAAAAAAGTTTCTGCAAACCTCTACATCGCTATGATATTCGACGCCTTGAATGCGAATCCGAGGTCATTTGAGGGTCGAAGAGGCAAAAGAATTTATTCAATAAAAATATTTTTTTTTATTTTTTGTTTGTTGTCACCAAATCCGAATATGGGAGGTCATCTCAAGGTCAACTTCAGAAGAATTGTATTGAATTTTCAGGTTTATTCAACGAATTTTATACTACTTGACCTTCAAATTGATTACAAAAAAAAAAAAAAAAGCTTAAAATCGCCAACCTGGGACAACTGAGAAATTACTTTTCTATATACAATCCAGACCTTCAGAAAAACTTGTGTCCATTTATTCCTCAGCCGAGCGTTAGGCCTAAAAACCTATGCTATTTCGACGGGTCGGGGTAAAGGTGTTAGTTCAGCGGCTGTAGCTGGCAAGAAGAGTTAGTTGCAGGGCATATGTATGTATGTCCATTATATCCTTGCCTAGTCTGGATAAGCAGGCGTTTAATCTGCTGAAGTATACAGCTTTTGGCCTGCAATGTGTAGTACAAACACAGTTGAAGACGACATGAGATAGGCAGGAGTTTATGTACATAAATGGTGTTCATTTTTGATAGCTGGTCTATACATTGCCTGTTCCAAAGTTCGTGCGATGCATGTCTAGATTCCAACCGTCAATTTATTTAGATCGCATTTTTGTATGGCTAGGAGGTGACTCTACTTCAAATAGATTTCTGTTGTGATATATTCTCTACGGTATAATTGTATACCCTTACACGACTCGTAAGACCTTCAAGTCAATAAAATTCGGATGTTATATGAAGGCATCCCGCGGCCGTTGTTAACAGTACGATATTTTGACAGGTATGTAGATTTCTCTACTGCGACTTGTCAATCTGCTGTGTCCATGTGTGGCAGTGAGCCAATTGCATTACATGTATGCACAAATATTGTACATTTCTTTGTCCTCACATCACGCATCTCTGTTAAATGCGGCTATGTGCAAGGATAAAAACCTTATAAAAATTGCCATTTTTCGGATTATCAAGCATCATAATTTGATTGCTATTGACGTGAGTTCCTTACTGCCGTTGTACAACTTGCATGCTGCTGGGAAACAAAACTATTTTGGCCTACATCGAACAAATTTTTGTGACAAAGTCACATTTTTCGGATAGCCGTTTACAAGGCGAATTTATATAAGGCGAAAGCGGCATCATAAAAACGAAAAGCTACACTAACAAATTACACACACAGTGGCAGTCAGAACACAACAATAGTACAAGAAACATATCATTTTGACAATCAGCAAAAATTGCGTAGAGATCAGCTGCTCTAGAAACTCCACCTAATATGAATTCGCCTTGGCCTTTTACTTACAAATTCCCCCCCCCCCCCCAAGAAATATAAGTCAAATGCGATACGAAGTATTTTGCAAAGTTATAAGCACATTTTTTTTCTGTGTATAGTTACTTACCAGCACATCAACTTGATGCAGCAATACTTTCCACATTATTTTACCAGATGTGCATACCTATGTTCTCCTTATTATTTTCTACACATTTACCATTCACTTTGTGCTCAACATTCCTTCCCTTTCAGGTCGATACTTATCTGCAGCTAAAAGGCACACAACTAGAGCGTGAGATGGCAGCTGAAATAATTTTGCACATACTCGATAAAGTCATGCAAAATACACAATCGCTGAATAGTCAACAGGTAAGCGACACAGCATTTATTATCTATTTAAGACTGTAGTTTGACAAATTATACGCGAGAGCAACAGCCAAAAGAGGTATTTTCATAAATCATTTAAAATTACCGTACTCGAGAAATAGCGCATTTCCCAGAAGATAATTTAAGTAGACCTTCTTAAGTGAAGCTATTCTAAAAGACTTACCGAAGAAGGGTTTTAAAAAGGCGCTACGCGTAGGCCCTACAAAATAATTAAGCGAATGAATTTCAATGCTAAAAGGCAATAAAATATATTCTATATAAGCTTTGAATAAATACTTTGCAGAAATATGATTTTGATTAATTAAAGAAGCAACTCTAGAAGAACGTCTGGAAAAGGCCTTTCAATTTGTGCCGCTACATACAAAAAATTATTGAGTAAGCAATACAGAGTGGAAGCACTCTTGGCTCTCAGGAAGGTCCTTTGGAACGAGTTTAATAATCTAACGGACAAATGGCGCATAGCTCGCTCTTGTAGTTCTAAGGTCTGTGTCTGCAGCAAAGCTAAATAAAAGTATCTAATAATTTTTCCTTACTATTATGTACATATTTTTTCATTCCATTTCATTCAATTGCTTGTATATTGAATACACATACACACAATCAAACCGTGAAATTAATTTTCTTGAATGAATGCGCACAATCAAGCGAATAAATCGTGTTACATCAAATTTACGCTATGTTCCACAATTGCACCGCCAATCGCAGCAGCAAAATAACCAAAAATAAAAAATAAAATAAAAAAAAAACAATTGCAACATGAAACAAAACTCGCTTCAACTAAAGCCAATAACTTGCGAAACTTTATTGGCAGTTTGGCGATGACGTTGAAAATCTTGGACTGACGCATGCAATGACTTTTCACGCGTACATAGACAACTGCAGCAACAATGATAACATCAATTGCTGCTGCTGTAACTTTGCACCATTGTTTGCAGTAAATTTAGAAGAAATCGTTGCTAGCGACGCAATGGCATGTAGCAAATGTGGCAAACACATTTATATACTTAAATATGTTACCTATATATGTATGTCCATATGTATGTACATTAGACAGCATCACTTCCCATGAAAAAAAAAAAATCACCTCAGATGACAGATTTTTTTAGCTTAAACTATTTTGTCACCTGAGGGAAGATTTTTCAAAAAATCCTTTAAGAAACTATTTTGATTCATAAGAACCCCAATTTTTGGAGGTATTTTCAAAGCCGTCCAGCTCACGTAAATTTTACTTTTTTTCCGAAATATTAAATATCCAAGATTTTGTAATCCCGGCGGAAAAACTGAAAGCTTTTTTGGGTGATGCAGTCTAATGTACATACATATACATATGTACGAGTATATATGTACATTTGCACGTGTGCAATGCGCATACTGATACATACAGCTCAAACAAAAGCCGTAGCTACAAATGCAGACGAATATGCTACACTCAAATTGCTGCTTTTCAAATGCCGCTTGTTGCTATCCTATCCGCGCGTAACTGTCGTTTGCTGTGTTGCATATCTGCGCTTGTGGCATGCAACATAGCAAATGTGTTGTATGAAAATGTACTTATGTTTATCCATACATACATGTGCGCGTGTGTGCAGGTTTGCATATTTAAGTGATTGCATCAGCCATGCTTGCATATTCGAGACAGTTTGATCAGCCCAACTACATACATATCACTCGGCTGCTAGTCAGTTGCTCTGCCAACTTGCAGTTGATATTTCCTAGAAGCACAATTTTT